CTGTCTGCCCGACTGTCACTCTCACCTCCTCTCTCCTCTGTGTGGGACAGTCAGTCGGTGAGAACAGCTGGCTGGCTGAGAGTGGATGGAGGCTATATCTACGTATGTGTGTGTAGGTATATGGGTTTATATGTGTGTGTGTGAGTCTCTCTCTCTCTCTCTTTGTGTGTGTGTGTGATCCTAAGAGGTCATAGGTCAAGCTGCGGTTCACAGAGACCCACGTTGTTCCCCTCCCAACAGGAAGGGAGGGCACTGTCCATATGCTGTCTTCACTCACACACACACACACACACACACACATATATAGATTCACACGCTCACACGCTATATAGAATTGGTCACAAATTCCGACAGGTACACACATGAGCTCACACAACTACAAACTGAGTACACTCATACTTAGACATGCTCACCCTCAGACATATTATACACACACATTCACTGACACAGATAGATCCACTCATTCTCACATACTTTAATACATGCATACACAAACATGCACTGTTTACGAATTTTGGTGACGACAGGAAAATAAATAATACTGGAAAATGATGATGTAAAGGTTATGTTTCAAATGAAGGGTGCAGAACAATATGCCGACCAACCTGGTTCAACTTCAAGTTGACCAAAGATGCATACACAACTGAGCAAACTTCATCCACTAAGAAACACTGTGAGATGTGCTGAAAAGCTCTGGAAGCAGCAAGTAAGTGGACATTGAGTTAAGTGTGTTCCATCAGAAGCAGCTTGTTTGAAGCATACTGATGCCTCGAGCCTGATCAGGCTGTGTTTCAGTAAAGAAGCCTCTAACCGTCTCTGCTGGGATCACTCATTTTAAATGTTGATAGAGCTGATTACACAGTACAGCTGCTGTAATTATCTGGATTTACAGTTTATTTTGTAGGATGACTTTGAGTCATCATGTCTCAGTGTTGCAGCTCCAGACTCTCTGTTTAAGGGCTGCGATTATCAATTATTTTCACAATTACTAATGATTCTTTTGGTCTATTAATCATTAAGATTATATAATGTCAGAAAAGTTACAGAAAATTCCAGAGAACAATGTGATGTCTACAGATGACTTGTTTTGTTCCGACAGTTCGACAGTCTGAAAATATGACTAAAGATCTATAAAGATAAATAAATATATAATGGTATACAGTGGAGAATAGCAGAAAACCCTCCCATTTCAGAACCTGGATAAGAGAACGAGAAAAACATGTGAATGAGAACTAAAGTTGAGGGTTTAGGTGATGGATGTAAAGAGAGCAAGAGGGGTTTAACCCGCTCACCCGATGTTGGCTGTGATGCACAGTTTTGTTGTTTGCCGACTGAAACAGGAGGAAGAGGGAGAGATTTAGACATCTTCCTTTTGTTATAGCGTTTTACAGCGGACAGATAACAACGACCTGAAAAAGCTAACATGGATACAAGTTGTTTTCACGTGTAAATAGTATTTTCAGGTCACCAGCTTAGTGTGGACGCAGCCTCAGTGCCAAAGCTGTTTAGGACAGGAGCGTGAAAGCTTGAGAGTCTCCTCCACGACCTTCTGTCTCTATTTTGTCTCCCCTCCCCTCAAATACAAACGCTTTCACTTTTTCAACACACTCACTGACACTTGTTTGGCTCTCTCTCTTGCTGATTTGACACTTCTTCTGCCTTCACATTATTTTTCCTCTCTGCCAGCAGCCTCCAGACATACACTCACAGTGTGTGCAGCCAGCTGCATACAGCTGTGTGCTCATAGTGTTTGATAACATCTTTTTATAGACGGTGACACAGTATTTTAGACAGGAACACACACACACAAATCAAGATGGCACAGCTCAAAATGTATTGTACCTTCAGGACAGCTGTGTTCACAAAGACACACACCTTGTTACTACACAAACACAGGAGGAGGTTCTGGGCAGAAAATGACAACATGCTAAGAGGTTTTTAAGTCAAGGCGCCAAATATTCATGATGAAGGCTGGAAAGTAACCTCCATGGTGTAACTGTGGCTCCTGAACACGTACTCCAAGCCCACAGGTTATCATTTCCAGAGAAACTGTTCTGCAGTGCTGGCCGTATATATAAATATGGTATAATCTCTTCCTTTTTGTCCTCATCACATCCATTTAAAAGCAGTCAACAAGATGCCTCACACTGGTCAAACCAACAGTAAACAGGCCAAGTTCGAGGACTAAATGATCCAAATGAATAATCTACTTCTTCATCAGGCCTTTATTTATTTATGTATTCATAGTATTTTTTAAGTTCGGTTCTTAATTTGTAGCACACGACAATGTCATAACACAAAGCAGGATATTCAGCACTCACCATCTTGAAGTCTTCTACGTAAAAACAGCTCTGTCATAGAAACCACAGACCAGCGCTTCAGGATTAGATTTGTAAATAATATTGCCATGCCAAAAGAAAAATTATATATTAAATGCTTTTATCCTTCTAGCTTATTTCAAACAGCAGAAAATTCTCTTTGAAACTGAATGGGACATTGATTGGACAAGATTTTTATGATGTTTTTTTGTCATTTTCATCACAAAGAAAATGCTCCAAGTAAAATCCAGTCACTGCCTGTAAGATCATTTATTTTCCCAGCTGCAGACATACTGGTCTAATTACCACATAAAGACACACACAAACAGAAATAGTTCTCACACCTTTCCATCTGGACTGATCGTTCCTCAAGTCTATCACAACAGGCAGGTGGGACAGAGACACACAGAGACACACAGAGACACACAGAGACACACACACACACACACACACACACACACACACACACACACACACACACACACACACACACACACACACACACACACACAGGAATGCTAAAACAAATGTTGACTGTTTACACTGGACCTGTTGTTATTGTTTATGTACTTTCTCTCAGTTCCAAGTGTTGCTGTTGTAAATCTGACGTCAGCAAATACCAATCACAGCTTCTGGCTGCAGCTATAAAAGATAAACACTAGAAATTACACTTACAACTGTTTTATGTTAGGGATCATTTTTACTTACATGATTATTCCAGGACCACAGGCTGACGTTCTTTCAGTTTTTACCTTTGATTATATATAATAATGATTGCAGCTCACTTTTCACTTGCCCCAGAGTTCAGAGGCAGTTACAGCAGTGTCCTTCGATTCCCCACCATTAAAATTAATTTCCCTACTTTAAAATGATTATGACCAGCCTAACCCTAGATCTGAGCCTCATGACTAAAAAAATGCCTACCAGTCAAAAGTTTTCACAAATTATTATTAAGTCTGGAGACGTTGCCTGGCAATTATTACTCCACCCTGTAATTCTGCTGCAGTTGCCCTGTAGTATTCGTATTAATGTTGGGTTGAAGTTGTGCAATGCATCATATCGCAAAAGACAGAAGAATTATTTTTAAAAAGATTTATTTTTAAAAAACAGTAGTGCCCCCAGTGGCCTAATTTATGTAGCTGTGAAAATCCAGAAGCACAGATGTATTATTTTCATCATTAGTGGAAGAAAAACATATTTACAGTGTGTCACTGAAGTCAAATACAAAGTATGAATACTACTGCATATGATACATTAAATGAGTATGATATGCAGTTGCTGCCCCCTACTGGTTACAAAGCATCTCTGGTCAGTTTTTAACTGCACATTTCATACACAATGAACAAAAAATAATTATGCCAATTAAAAATACTGAATATTACATATTCACTATCTGGTAATGCATGCCATATTTAGTGAGGGTGTCAAACAGATCTGCAACTAATCATCGTTTAGTTGATTCATCTGTTATTTACTTTATAAATGATATAAAAGTCAGTAATAATATCTGACAGCCCGAGTTATCGTCTTCAAATATCTTGTTTTGTCCGACCAACAGTGCAAAACCCAAAGATATTCGGTTTACTACAATATCCTGCATGTAAAAGAAATCAGCAAACACTCACGTCGGAGAAGCTGGAACCATCAAATGACTGTCTTTTTTTAATTAACAGAAATAGAATAGTTGTACTTGACTTATCAGTTGATTGACTAGTTTTGTTAGTTGTCCATTTCTATGCCTAATTATGCTGTATAAACTGTTATAGTGATCTTCCTAATTAATAAAACCCCAAATTGATCTTGCACAGTGCATAGCCTAGTTTGTGCACTGAGCTAGTTAACTTTTCCATAATAATTCTAAATAACTGGTGAAATTATTATAAATAATTAGGCAACTTTTAACAGCATGTTTTTCCAGAATTGTAAATGAAATTGTTCAACCAATGTCTTCCACTTTAAATTTCCTAAATAAAATGTAACTTGTGTTTCAGCTCATTCAGATATTGAACATGAAGCATCCATCATTTCAACATAAAAGTAAAACTATACCACAGTGTGGATAGATTAGACTGGGTGAGTGCCATCAACATGCACAGAGCGCCACCTGCTGTGAATCACTGTATCTTAAAACTCTTCCTCTTGAGGGGGTGGACACAATATCATGAACACCACTACAACCTAATGCAGTCCAGTGAAACGACAATGAAACAAATACCACCACCTTTAAGTTACAAAAAGAATGAGTTTTTGAGGCTACACAATGTGGTGCTGAACTACATTACTGCTGTAGAGAGTTCACACTGTGTCCAGGGCAGTAAAGGTGAGGGTAAGAGGAGGTGCATGACAAAAAGTATTACAAATAAATCAGTCAAACTGACACAGAACCACATCGATCTGCTTCATTATTTACATTACATTACTGTGGATAGGTTCAACCTAACTACTGTTAGTTGATGCTGCTGTTGTGTCTTTAGGTTACTCAGCTTTATTGGGATTAAATTAAGATAGATAGTCATACAGCCAATAAAAAGCACGTTTTAGTCTTCAAGTCTAACCTGTGGCCCTTTGCTGCATGTCGTCCCTCCTCTCTCTCCCCACCTTTCCTGTCTGTCTCACCGTAATAAAGGCAAAATACCCCCAAAAAAGAGATTGTAATAAATACTCACTCTTTGAAACACTTGCTATTTGCGAATTCACTTTATTGCAGAATTTCCACAACATCAGTTCAGTGAGGCCCTTTGTTGTAGACCTCTCCGACGGCCTCCTGCAGTTTCTTTACTGACTCAATCGCCAGTCGGAAACTTTCATGGAAGTTGCCGTTACCTTCTTTCACCCAGGCCGCCTGCAGCTCTCTGACCCACGTCAGGATCCCATCCAGCTGCTTCTGCACCTCCTTCTGCTCCTCCAGTTCGGCTAGCAGGGCCTGTCTGGCACAAACTTCTGCTTCATATGCTCTCTGGAGGTCTGCCAGGGACGACTCCAGCTTCAGCACCTCCTGGAGGACCACAGGTAAATCACAGACAGATACATTACTACTGTATTGTTTTCTATGACATCTGCAGATATTATGAGAAAACTGTAGAAATAAATCATCTGATAATGGCTGTACTGTACATATACACAATCCAATCAATACTAAGAAAACCCTAAAAACTGGAGTGAGACATAAATGCTTGATACAAAAAAGGCAGTATATTATTAAAAGACCATTCAATTTCATTAGTAGAGCAAAACTGATTTGGGATTTTTGACGGTGACACCAACATCAATATCTGAGAGTTTAGAAAAAAAAAAATACATAAAATATTCATCAGCCAGTATCCATTAGTAAGTCGACCTTTGAGATTATTTTGTTACACATACAATGACCTAGTACAGGGTGAGGGCGATACTTTGTTATGAGTATAAAGGGGATGAGCTTTAAAGTTACTTTCAACCACATCCCAGAGTTTTCCGTTTGGGAAAAAGCTAGTAAGGTACTCATACATTTTGTCACAATGTTCTGACATTTTATGGACAAAACAATTGATTACTCGAGAAAATAATCAGCAGATTAACTTGTAATAAAATGAATCGTTAGTTGCAGGACTAATGTAGAACACATATAGACATGTAGTCACAGAGGAATATGAGGTCTCATAACAATAACGCTACAGAGATAAAGCTTTAATTTGAGAGTTTTTACAGACATATCGGGTGAACAGTATAGGAACTGTAGCCCTGTCATTTTACTTCTGTAATGTTTAGAACTTGATGGCGACTAACTTTATGTATAAAAAGGACAACCCCCAGTTCAGCCAACATGGATGTGAAATCACCAAAACAAACCCCACTCTGTCATCACAGCGAGTGCTTCAGACTGAAATAAACGGCCGCAACAGAGATTGTCCAAACATTTACAGACAGTACAGCACAATTTCTAAATACACGAATGAAACAGTAGCCTGTCACACTGGGCTGTGCTCCCACTAGTGAACTACAACCTCATCCTCCACCTACCTGTAAGTCTTGGGGGCAGTTTTTGTGTGACTGGTCGTCGGGCAGCAGGACATTTGGCGGCACGGAGAAGCAGCGGTTGACCAGCAGGGCCTCCATCCGCTCCGCCAGCTGCTTGAACCGCTCTTCGAGGAACTGTTGTAGCTTCCGGCTGCACTCCCTGGCCCGAGCCCGGAGCAGCTCGTCGGCCCCTTCCGACTCGCCTCTACTCAGCTGCCTTACACAGACCTTCTCCACCACGGGTAAAATGTCATACAGGCAGTCCTGAAAGGCGCTGTAGACCCGTAACATGCAGGTCTGGGGAGTAAAACCGAAAAACTGTGCCTCGTACAGTTTTAAATATGACGGAGAAAGACTGTCCATCTCTGCATCGAGCTTTCCGCCTACATCCATTTCATTTTCTTCCCGGGTTTCCCGCGCCATGTTGAATCTCTGACGTTTATTCTTCTCCCTTCTTCCTCTTATGACGTTTCTAGGACGTTTATTAAATAAGTACATACATACACAGTACTGCCACCAACCGGTATGGAGTCTAACTGAGGAATGAGTAGTGATGAATAAACTGTGTTACAAAATAAAATAAAAATCAATTAAGAGCAAAAAACGATGACATTCGCTCAATTAGACAAGGTCTTCTAAGACATCTTACTGAAAAAAAAAAAACTATTAAACATGGCAACACTTAAGACCCCTTTTTATAGGTTACAATCAATATAACATTTAATAAATGGTTTATAAAACATTATAAGTAAAATAGAATAGATTAGAATAGATTTGTCAACAGCTATAGTTCCTCCTACGTACACCCATAAGTGGAGGCCGCTGTATAAACAGTTATGAAAATATAGTAACACAGTTGTAATAACATAAAATATGTCTTCATGGATAAGTTAGAATTGTTGACAATTGGTTCCATCTTCTTAAATGAGAGGAGTTAATGCTGGTCTTTTCGCTTGGATAAATCAAAACATTTGAAGAGGCATTTTTATTTTTCAAACACTTTTTGAACAAAATGATGAATCAATAATCGATAACGATAATGATTATTAGCTGCAGCCCTTATATATTATTACGAAATTGGTGATTCTGCATAAGGAATTCTTATATTTATCAACTGATGTACATTTTGAGATTCATTCAATTTTGTACTACTTAAGGAAAGCAGGTTTACTTGTAGCAGAGTATTTCTACATTGGCACAGCTACTTAAAATATCTGAGTACACCGTTTGTTTTTAAAACGTTCCTTCGCTCATTTAAAAACGGTTGACATTTGACGTAAGACGCACGCTTCGGACACGCCTCCTCGGTGGGACGAAAGGGACATGCGCGAGCGCGCTCACTTCCTCCTCGGCTGCTGCTTCTCTTCGCTTGGTCTGTGTTGATAGCGGCTCCTGCTTCCACACGTGTGGTCATTCCTATGTGAATCTCTCTCTTCGGGGCCCGTTTACAAGTTCATCCTGCTCCTTCACAATAGGTAAATCCACTGTGGGCGGTAAGTGTTTGATGTTTGTGCAGCTGCGCAGCCGCTTGCCTGGTGGGGGCAGAGGTTACGGCTGGAAGTTTAGCCGGTTTTGCTGCTGTTAGCTCGGTGATGTTAGCTAGCTGCGGATACGTCTACTTTTTTGTTGTGGTGTCGCTAACGTTAGCTAGCTAGCAACCGTAACTAGCCAGGCTGGTTAATGCAGCCAAAGTACGACAAATGCTCTGGGTCGTACGTGCGCCTCTTCGTGTGAAGCTGAAATGTGATGTTTCCACCGTGTCATCCTCTCTCTAGGTGTAAAGCCATAGAAACCGACAACCATGGGGGCTTATCTGTCGCAGCCTAACACGACTAAGACCTCTTCCGATGGCGGCAACAGCAACATGAGCTACGGCTTCTCTGCCATGCAGGGCTGGCGTGTCTCCATGGAGGTGAGACGGAAAATGAGGGACCGGATCAAAGACAACCATGTTGCCGCCCTGTGTCCCGAACTCTGCGAGGAGAAAATGTGTCTTGAGTTATAAATGGCCGGATGAAGGGGGTGTGAGGCTTTTCTCTGTATAGGTTTGTTTGAATGCAGCTGGTTGGTGTCTCTCCAGAGTACACTGAAAGTCCGCCACACTCCTAAACCAGCTTCTCCCTCAGCATCAGCTGCAGTGATGGCTGAAATCCATAATTCATCCTCAGGGTGTTTTTTGCATGCTGAGTTACATTGTAGTCACTAACTCTCAGCATTCAAGAGCATGTAATTGATGTCCACTGTGTGACCCTTGTCTCCTCGTTTGTGAAGGAAGTACTTGACTGCAGCTGACAGCATTTGAAAATCTGTTGTCTTTGTCTTATTATGTTAAGTCATTTTTGATGAGAAAATCAAACACATTGTCTAATCATGTATGAGTCAACTGGATGTAATGCATCAGCTATCTGCAGAATAATAATAGCTAAAATTGGTTGCTAGGTGCATGCATGTGAGTAATTAAGTGCAAAGACATGTATCAACATGTGCAAGAATAACAACACAAGGCTCTTTGTTGCTTGACAGTCATTTGCCCACTAAATGTATTTATGTTACATGACAGTGATTGAAGGTGGTATGCAAGGATCTCTATTTATTTTATTTTTTTTATTATTTATTTTTTTTATCATCTTATCCCCTTACTTGCTTTTCCTAAATGTACAGGTTGCCTTTTTTTTTACACCAGAAAAGACTTTGATTGCTATGCTACTGTGCCAATTAGTAAATGCCTGTATTTTGATGTGTATTTTTGTCTTTGTTGTTTCACAGGATGCTCATAATTGTATCCTAGAGTTTGATGAGGAGACTGCCATGTTCGCTGTGTATGACGGACATGGAGGTAACGTGCACAGTGTACAAAAAGTCTTCTATTTATAGTATTTTGCACTATATATTGCACCATTTACAGCATTTGTTTGCTAAACACTCAACAGTATTTCTAACATTGACAGTGCACAACAAGCACTGCCCACACAAACTCCACTCAGAGACACCAATGTTCTTTCCTTTTCGATTTTTGGAGCACAAAATGCCCATTTTTGTGTAGTGTTTCCCCCTTTATTGTTTGTTTTACACACCTCTCTGAGTACTACACACCTATCCTGAGAATTTATATTACCTGCTGTTGCCATTTAGGAGAAGAGGTGGCTCTGTACTGTTCAAAGTACCTTCCTGACATCATCAAAGAGCAGAAGACCTACAAAGACGGCAAACTGCAAAAGGTGAGACACTGTAGAGGTAACAGCCTGGCCTACACATCTTCAACAAGTTTGACAGAACAAAGATCATCATGACCAGTGGTGTGTAGGTCTGCTCTGGAATAATTACAGTTTAGGTGGGATTAGAATATTCCATGTATCATCACTGTGGTCACCTCTTTTTCTTTGTGCCACTGTCCTAACACATTCAGAACACTTTCTGAAGAGACCCCCAACATGAATCTTATTAATGTTAAACCCAATATTACACTGTGCCACTTGACTTTTACTGAAAAAAACATTTTGCATGTCGTTTCCAGGCACTGGAGGATGCCTTCTTGGCCATCGATAGCAGAATGACCACAGAGGAAGTCATCAAGGAGCTGGTCCAGATTGCTGGACGGCCCACTGAGGAGCCACCCACTGAAAAGGTGGCAGAGGAGGATGATTGTGAGTACACCCATAATAACGTTTAGATAGCATTGTCCGTTCGTTGTGGATGTCAGTGGTAAGAAACATAATCAGGAACATCCAGCATATCAAAATATACTAATAAAAAACTAATAATGACCATAATTATTGAAAAAACACTGCAAAAGAAAACAGGGACGTGACATAAAACACAATCACTGTGAGAATGAATAATTGAACTGTGGATAAAAACTAATTTCAAATCAAAATGAAAACTTTTGAGTTCAGGTTTCTGTTCTCCTTTCAGTGGACACAGAGGAGGCAGCTTTGCTCCATGAGGAGGCCACAATGACTATAGAGGAGCTGCTGGTGCGCTACGGCCAGAACCGCAACGCCGTCAAACACGCTTCCGCCATCAGGTAGATCCATACACTTCAACAGCCAGTAAAATAACATTTTCTGAAAATGTTACTTTTTGCAGAAGAGTGCATCTTTTGGTAACCTCATGGAAGTCCAACAAGTAAAGTCATTAAAGATTTTATAGCCCATTGGTCTACACATAAAATTGATCCTCGCCTTGTTAAACATCCTGCTACACCAATCTGTTTTAACAGGACTCATATTACATCTAGGAGGTGATGACAGAATCATATGACACCTTTTTAAAAGTTGTTTTTTATTTTCAGTATTTCAAACTTTTGTTGATATTCTGATGTTGATCAAACATACAGATGTGTGATCTGTATGTTTGAATTCAGTGAAAATCAGCCATATCCATTACATTAGATACCTGTATCTTGGCTGTAACTCAGTGAATCCAGGGTTTTGATGATAGGTTTGTAAAACAGCAGTTAAAATTCTTCATGTGGTTGACCCCTTTATTTCCTCTTTCCTCTGTTTTTTGTTCTTAGTGCGGCTGCTAAGAAGGCCTCCTGTCCACATGCTGAGACCTCAGGAGACAAAGGGGAAGGTGGGGAAGGACAGAAGAAAGAGGGGCTGAACGGAGAAGTGGAGGAGGAGAGCAACGGGAAGGTGAAGAATGCTGAAGGAGCAGCATGTGGGTCTAAGCTGCGAGCCTGTCGGAGAATAGGAGGAGCTGAAGGCAGTGGTGCAGGTACAGAGCTTAGACTCAGGAGTCTTCAACAACAACATTTCTTTCTACTAAAACATGACTTGAGATGAAAAATATGTCCAAAAAAGTCATGGTAATGTAGTTAAAAACAATCTACAATATTGAAATGAGTATGAGGTCTACCTGCTAACAAGCATTAAAGAAAGAATCTTAAAGTGTGTGGAAGTGGCACTTATTAAATGCCCTCTCCTTAATGCCCTTATCCTCTTATTTTCTCTCTGTTACTCTTGTCCAACACCTTGCCTTTGTCCTCGACAGCAGCTGACTGTGGAGAGTCAGGAAGCTCCAATGGAGAAGAAAAGGCCAGTAAGGCAGAAGGAGATGCAGGTCCTTCCTGCTCCTCTTTGTCCTCCAAGGCTGCTGGAGATTCAAAGTCCAGGTTCTTTGATGACAGCGAGGAGTCTGAGGAAGGAGAGGAGGAGGAGGTCAGTGATGAAGAGGTGAGAGCATGAGATCAAAATAAATTTCTCCTTGGCTGTGAAAGGTCACTGTCTTTGATAAGCATTGTAATAACTTTTTATATATATATATTTTTTTTTAATTAGGATGGCAGTGAAGAGGAAGAAGGTGATAGCAGTGAGATGGAAGAAGAGGAAGATACAGAGGAAGGAGAGGAAGACTCTGAGGATGAAGAGGAGGAGGAAATGTGTCTCCCTGGAATGGATGGCAAGGAGGAGGTGCGTACAAAGGGGGACTTTGCATCTGACAAGTTAACTGCTACCAACTACATGCAGTCCAGTCAACATATCGGGCCTCATTTCAGGGTCATAGGTTGCCTTGATTTTTTTAATAACTGTTTAGATGTTGAGTTAAAAGCTGAATTGTAGTGTGCAAGTCTGAAGAGTGGAGCTCAAAAATATTTATAGAATGATTGTTATAATCATTGAGAGTGACCATGTCAGCTTGAGAGGGGGAACAACAATGCAGAGTTAATGTACTGATTAATCACACTTTCTGTTTTCAAGGCTGTCGATTTGTTGCTGCATTCTCGACTCTATGAAAACCTCCGATACAATGAATTGATGGTGATCACAAAGATATTATGACCTCGATCCACTGATCACTTGTACTACTTGAACAGACTTGTCATAAATTAGTTGTTAAATGTAAATGTTCAGTAGTCATAATAAAAGCATTGTATTGTTCCCCCGTGATTCTAAAAGAAATGACCAGAAACTTTTCTTTTCACTGATGCGAATTGGCCAAACGAGCAATAGTTGTTTGTTTTTAGCCATTTAAAGAACACAGCTGAAGTTTTAAGCTATGAATCCAACAAACAGCCTGCAATAAATTGGACAGTCGCACAGCTGCAGAAGCCAAACTCAATTATTTGTGATGACTTTGTGTAAATGGTAAAGAGGGTTTTAATGGTTGCCTTTTTTTCTGTTCTTTTTTAATTGGCTGAAAAATGCCTGCAAGCTTTTATTTATTTTATGTCAGTGAAAGCCATCATGGAATTTAAACAATGTTGTCACATATTCACAGCCTGGTTCAGACAGCGGCACCACAGCTGTCGTGGCTCTGATCCGGGGGAAGCAGCTGATCGTGGCCAATGCTGGAGACTCTCGCTGTGTGGTGTCTGAACGCGGTAAGTCAGAAACATTTGGGGCCAGGTTACCTTTTTGATACCGGTGTTATTGTAAAATCTATATTAAATAAACGGAGGAACTTCAGCCTGGTGTCTATGAGAGAAATCTTATATCATTTTATGTTTGTTTGCTCTGCTGTTTTATTTTATAACCCCATCAGTTGTACCATGAAACGGATGCAAGGTGTAACTAGTGCCACCAGGGAGACCTCAAACTTTGAACACCTTAATTGGACAGTTTCTAAGCATGTGATGAATGTAGAAATATTCTCAGTAGGAACCACAGTTGGTTTTCATGTTTAATGTCACTTAAATGCTTAAAATCTGCTGAAATGTTGACCTTGTTTGATTGAAGAGACTATATTGTTCATATCCCCTTACACATTAGGTGGGTTATGTTTGTTTGCTCTGCTGTTTTATTTTATAACCCCATCAGTTGTACCATGAAACGGATGCAAGGTGTAACTAGTGCCACCAGGGAGACCTCAAACTTTGAACACCTTAATTGGACAGTTTCTAAGCATGTGATGAATGTAGAAATATTCTCAGTAGGAACCACAGTTGGTTTTCATGTTTAATGTCACTTAAATGCTTAAAATCTGCTGAAATGTTGACCTTGTTTGATTGAAGAGACTATATTGTTCATATCCCCTTACACATTAGGTGGGTTTTTTTTTCCCATAAAGGCCTCGTTTTTTTCTCTATAATCAGGTGATATGTCATGTTCTGCACAACAGCTAATCGTGGTGGAAGATCTTTTAATGAGAGACTTTGCCGTTATCTTATATGAAATGTAAGCGCTCCCTTCCTGTGTTGCTGTAGGTAAAGCTGTTGACATGTCGTACGACCACAAACCAGAGGACGAGGTGGAACTAGCTCGCATCAAAAACGCTGGAGGGAAAGTAACTATGGACGGACGGGTCAACGGTGGATTGAACCTCTCCAGAGCTATTGGTATAACTGAGTTTGTGTGTGACTTTTAGACTAGTGCTGTGAGAATCATCACAATTAAACTAATAGCACCTCTTGGTCAGTATAGATATTTTCTCTTTTGAGCTCAAATCACAATTGCACATTATCCTCTTCTGAGATGACCACATCTGTAAACACAGATTTAGATTCTTTTTAACATTTGTTAATCTGGACTCTGGTTCTCAGGTGACCACTTCTATAAAAGGAACAAGGCTCTGCCTCCAGAGGAGCAGATGATTTCTGCGATGCCGGACGTCAAAGTTCTGACACTAAACGAGGAGCACGACTTCATGGTCATTGCCTGCGACGGCATCTGGTGAGTAATGGTGGTGGTTGGACGTGTGTCCCTGTACTGTATTTTTCAAAAGGAATCATAATTTCTTCTTCACACTTATAAACATCTGTCAGACAGCCAGTGATGAATCAGTCTGAACCCAGCTGCCAAGAATTCAATCTAAACAATGAATTTTGTACCTCCAGAGAGACAAATTTATACAGCAGTATATTTGTTGTGAGTGTGCAGTTAATTTAAATTAAACACAATGAAACTGTTTTGATCACTGAAAGTTGACACTTTATGAGCTTGAAGTTGTTTGTTCTTTGATTTGTCACTGTTGGTAAGTTCTGTCTCCATGTGTGCAGGAATGTGTTAAGCAGTCAGGAGGTGGTGGACTTCATCAGTGAGAGGATCAAACCAGACCAGAGTGGCAGCGCCAGGCCCCTTTCATCTATAGTGGAAGAGGTGAGAGACACTTGTACATACTTGTTACACACTTGACACTTTTACATAATGGTCACTTGTTAATAAATCAGTGGGTGACGGTTTCTTTAACTGGATCCAGAGCACTAGAATCAAAATATCTTCTCAGACATGAAAGTAAAAGTAATGTAGTGTACACTCGGTGTAGAAAAATGTATATCTTAAACTTGTTTTGTCAGTTTCTACTATAATGGACACAAAACACTGCCATACTCTATAAGCTGTTTGTAAATGTTAAATAGCTACTTCAAATGTGTCTGTGTTCTCCTTTCCTTTTTCCGATAGAGGCATGATGATTTAGATGGTTGATTTTTCTCTAAAAAGAAGTATCCTATCAGTCACTTAAAACTAATGTGTCGTCATCGAATTATCTAACTTGTAGCCTTAGTTGACTCCCAAACATTGTCCATAGTTTGCATCTTTAATTTAAAATCCCCTGTGTCCTCCTGACAGTTGGTGGACCACTGTTTGGCTCCCGACACATCTGGAGATGGGACAGGATGTGACAACATGACCTGCATCATCATCAGCTTCCGGCCACACCCGTCCCCCTCTCAGTCAGATGACACAAAGAAGAGGAAGCACCAGGAGGAGGCAGAAGGGACTGAGCTGGAGGAGAATGGAAACAGCAAAAAGGCTAAAAGTGACTAAAAGAAAAGAGAAACTATCCCAGGGGGGAGCAGCTGGTCCCAGTCTACCCAAGATACACCCAGAGACACATTCTGTTCAAAATTAAATCCTTACCTCACAAACATCAATTCACCCTAAGACAGAATTTGTAAATGCTATATGTATGCTCAAAGATCAGCTGAACTAAGATCATCAGTATAGTTTTTGTCCTCTGTTTTAGGTGGATTCTCACTTTAACGGCCCCTCCAGTTATTTCTTTTGTTTGGTCTCATTGGAAAGAAGCTGGTCACACTTTAACTTTTTAAATTCAGAGGCGGCAGACTCAACACTCACTGGCATGCACATCACTTTCCATGAATTTGTAACTTTCTAGCTTGGCATTGCATAAAGGTAACATTAGGAAAAACATTTTGAATGACAGAATATTACTGTCCTTTGTAGCCCAAACTGAAACTTAATGATGCCGTGAGACTGCGGATGCTAGTCTAGTGTTGCACTGAATGTGTTGATGCCCTGTTTTAGTCTCCTCTCTGATGTTGATGTCTCACCCTGAATTTGTTCAGGGGCAGTTTGTTTGAGTCACATTTTGACAGAGAGGAACTGAACAATGTAACTACTCCAGTCGCTCTACTTTGCCATTTCTTTTTTTTTTTTCTTTTTTTTTTTTTTTTCATTAGCAACCATTGAGATGGGAGGATTTTTTTTTTATTATTTTTTTTTTTTCTTTTTGTCTTGTTGGTCACATGATACCCCATACATCACCATGATCCTGCCTTTCTTTTGATTCCTACTTTGTGTCTTGTCTTGATTTGAAATCTGTAAATTTCCAGATGGTGAAAAGATGCCAGGGTTTTGTGAACAACTGTACTTTTCATCTTTAAGAGATAGCAGGGAAACGGAGACAAGTCTTATGTGTCTCTGTATGTCCATCCAGAGAGGAGAGAGAGGTGTTGATTGAAGCCTTGGACTGGCAATCCACATACAGCTCGTCTCTAGGACTCTACCTTCCTCCACCCTATTTACTTTCCCTGTCTGTCGCCATGTTTCCATTGAAAGTTCTTTTTTTAAGATTACCTCTTGAACATGTTTTATTTAAAAAGTATTTCCACACAGATTGTCATATTTTTCATTTTTGATGAATCAGTCCTCTGGCAGTTTTTTAAAAGAAAATCCTTTTTGTGAGCACACCCTGAAAACGCCCTGATGCTGGACTGTGGAGAGGATGCACAAGGTTATTTTTTTGAGTGGAAATACAATTTAAAGTTCAGAGCACCAAGACAATGTAACTGTTTAGAAGATTCTTTTCTTTACTTGCAGAAGCCTCATTTAAAACCTTGTTGTGACTGTAAGTTTGTTTCTAGTGTACTATCTCGTCACCATGCCCTTTTTTCTGTACATAGTTTTTTCAATACTTACGTAATTGAAGAAAAAGAAAATGCTTTTTCTTTGTAATTGTGAGTCAATGTGACATTTTGGTGCATACTCTTTTGACACCAGTATGTAAGTACATACAATACATTTTTTTAAATAATGAGATAACAGTATTCCTGTGTGTTTCTTTAAAAACAACCAGTGCCAGCCTTTATTCATTATATTTATTTTTATTGTGAAATTGTGTTCATAGATGCGATTTCTGTTGAACAAACTTAAGTGACAAAAACATTTTTCAGGCATAAGTTGCTGCTTAACATCTTGATAAACTATTTAAACGCCACATAGGATGAATGAAATGAATTTTGTGTCGTCTACACGACAGTAATGCATATATTTTTCAGTTACTTTTGTGACATGACAAAGTCGTCACATCATGTTCATGTTTAAGAAGCTGCTAACTACTTTTAATGTTGTGTCTACTTAAAGGCTCAATATGCCGCAATTCAAAGCAAAGTTTGCCTTTATTCGGATAGGGACAGTGAGAGTGACAGGGAAGTTGGGGAGAGAGGGGTTGACATACAGCAAAGGGCCATGGGTCGGATTCGAACCCATGGCTGCTGCAGTAAGGACTGAGCAAAAGTGGTACTGGCTCTACCAGTTGAGTCATCAGGGCCGCCCCCCTGACTTGAGATTTCTGCCCTTCTTGCAGCAGCGACTAAGCATGGTGATGTTCAACTGTCCCACACAAGACATCTCCACAAACACTGAACTGCTCCCAGCACCACTTCTACCAGCCAGACTGATTGAAAACACTTGTGTTTCCCTGAGGCTAAACGCTTTCCATTGTGAGGTTTTCTTTTGTGCCAAAATGTGAACTTCGCACATACGATGACAATATGAAATGGAAAGTACAATTACTGTACAAACAACACATCAGAGGGTCTATATTCAGTGTCAGTGACAGTATCGATTACAGGCAGGAAGAGAGTCAGGGAGTTTGGTTTATTTATAAGTTGGGCAGGGATCTATTTGTTCATGAGGGTGAGAGGTAGAAAACTACTACTGCAAACACAGAGATTAAAGATTCAATTAAACTGATGTGCAACAGCTCTGCTTAGGCTGAAGTTTGGTGGAGGTATGCAGTCCATTTCACTCAAGGACAGTCTGTACACACATACTGTACATGCAGATTTTTTTTATGAAAGGAAGCTAAAATGTTGATTTTCACATGAAAATATGGTTAATCACAGGTTTAAACATAATAATAGAAATAGATGTCAGGGAGAAGTCAGGGAGTGTGGGAGGTTATTAATTAATGTCTGTACCAAATTAAAGGACCATGCATTCAGTGAGGAGGGTAGGACAGCTTATCTACAGGCTTTCCTGCAGATGGCAGCAAAGACATGTGGAGCGGTTACACTGTGTCTTTGATACGGTACGTTATGATCCCAGAAGCAGGGAGATGTAATCATGGGCCACAAAGGGCAAAAACTCAGGAGGGTTTCATCCCAAATAGTGCAGGTGACTCACACACCTTTAACCAGTCAGGACAAACTAGTCAGAACAGTCCTGTCCATCCTCCTGTTGTCTTTGAATCTCATGAAAACTGTTTGCCCTCCATGACAGATGATCACAGTCCATCTCATGAAGGCACCATGAGTTAGTTATACTTTAAATCTCCATGGAAACAGTGAAGCAAAGGAGGACAGACTTTAGTTCCCATCAGCCTCGGGGGCCTCTCTGCCCTGCCCTGCCATTGGCCGCTGCTCTACAGGCCTGGTGGTTGCTCTGTTCCCCGAGGATCGCTGCTGCTGCAGGAACAATAGAAAGCAAGAGAGGAAACACACACTGTCCTTGGAATCTAAAAATGTCATTGCAGACACACACACACACCAGAATACACACATTTTCTGCCTGTCTTTAACAGACAGGATGTTTTTTGTTCTCGTAGTATAGATTAGCGGTTTCAGCAGTGTGTGTGGATACAGACAGTATGTGCAAAGTTTGTCAGGCTGGGTGTTCGTTCTCGTGCTAACAGAGACAGAAATACAGGCCAAAACACACTTTGTATGTGTGTGAATGTGACTGTTTTGTCCTTGGATTTATAATGAATATAATTAAAACTACTCTGCTCTGTTTGTGGTTAGATTACCATCCTAGAAATAAGAAGCATGTCTCCCTCTTCACTGGCCACAGCTGCACTGCCTTTTCCAGCTGCCCAAAAACATTTATTACCTATAATATTTTGATTTCTAAATGGTTTTCATGGAAGACATGTTGGCATATTTCTTATATACTAAAGCTGCTCCAGGCTGACTTTTCACTGCACTAACTATAAAAAATGTTTCTAAAAGGCCACTACTATGTAGCTCAATGGTGGCCTTGTCCAGCTGTTTGTGTTGGGGGAGTTGCTTCTGTCTCCAGACTCTTAAAGTTGACGAATGGCTGTGGAAGAGAACCACAGGAGTCCAACTAGACCTGCAATTGTACATATAGAACAGCGTATGTGTACGTGTGTGTCTGCGTGCTCGTGTGCGTGTGTGTCGTCTAGCCAACAGGTCTTATATAGAAAGCGAGACCACAATAACAGGTTGTAGTTAGACACTGTAAGCATTCATCAAGACTCGCAGTCTTTTCAATCTCCTGCTCGCACCCCTAAAACTGCATTGGCCCTGTTGCCCTCACATTGCAGAGCGTTCAGCAATGTCACATACACACACAGACACGCACACAGACACACAGACACGCACACAGACACGCACACACACACACACACACACACACACACACACACACTCCAGTGGTCACAGAACTTCTGAGAGCAAAAATAGTTTACTACAAGGTCTTTTTCAGAATTGCATACCTCTAAACTGCATTCCTGTTACTAATGTTGTTATCATAGCATAGCAGCAATATTAGTTGCAATAAAAGTTATTAATAATAATAATAATAATAATAATAATGATAAGGCTGGATGGTATTTATTTCAGGTTTAGAAACAGATGTTGCCAGGAGGATGAAAAATTCGTGGTTTCTTGCCGGGAGCGGTGATTGTTGCCTGTCAAGAGTTTTGGCCATTGTTGTGTTTACAAGTCAAGAGGTTATAGTATGCTATTGGAGCAGCGTTAATCGTCAGGGCAGATTGGAGGCTACAGTGACTCGCTATTGGAAAGTGATGAGACGGGCCGGGGCTAGCAGGTTAGCATGCTAACTTCAGTAAGAGTCAACCTTGACATTACTTTCCACTGCTGGAGACAGTTTGATGTTTGATGCTGAACTCTCGGTCCTTCTAGACTGGTAGCCTAAGTAAATAGGTGTTAATGCTAACACTGACTATGTAGCTATAGCAAAAACTCACAAATAGCAATAAACACCAGATCTATTCAACACACATACACTCATGTTTGTTCTTCTATACTTGTCAGGTCAAAATGGATTTCCCTTAAACCAAACCATCGTAACTACACATCTAAACCCAACCTTTAGCCTCATCTTGATCTAAACCTAACTGTAACTTATTTTATGCCCTTATTATACAGGCAACAGTAGAGAGATGATAAAGAAGAAAAGGTGGAATTGCATGTAATAACAGCTGGACGCAAAGCAGGGAGGGTTACTCACCCTCACACACTTTAGGTTTGAAAAAGTGAGGACCAGATAAAATGTCCTCACTCTCACTCTGACTATAACTAAAACTCCTCTCTAAGATAGAGGTACATACACATCTCAAGACCCCATAACCCTGTGTCTGGCACAGGGACACTCACACACCAAGGCAGAAATAAAACACACACACACACACAGAGGATGTGTCTGGAACTGACATGCTGATACATCCTGCCAGCAACAGAACAGCTGACTGTGACATCTTTGTATTTCCACTGCATGTGTGTGTGTGTGTGTGTGTGTGTGTGTGTGTGTGTGTGTGTGTGTGTGTGTGTGTGTGTTGTCTTCATCTGTACTTCACCAGCATCAGGCTAAGCATGTTGGATAACCTGATAGTTGTAGGAAAACAAGGAAATTCCCCACATCCTTCTTTGTTTTCCTCTTTTCCTTTTCACCTCTTTTGTGCCCCCCTTGTCATTTTTTTCTTCTCCACCCACTGTCACTTCCTTCCACCTCTTCACTCCACTTCCTCTCTTCCTCCCTCCTCTGTCTTCTGATCTTTCCTTTCAATTTCCTGATCACTTTGTCGTGTCTGTCTCTCTTTTCCTGTTCCTGTATTCCATCTTTCAACAAATTTCTCTTCACTCATGCATGTAGCTTTTACCTCATCTGACTTTGGGAGACCATCCACAGCAAAATGTCCGTCTTATGATTATTCTGTCCTGCATTAGGTATAACTTCCATTTCACACTTTTTACATTTTCAAATACAATGGTTCAGTCATGGATCTTTTTTCAGGCAAACACATTGCATAAACTCTCCAGTACACCAGGTTTTGTTTGCTTTCACCTATCTTGGACGATTGTAATGTTTTGTATATATGAGATCTAAGGTCATATATTGATCAAATGTACAAGGAAACTGGAAACAGCCTGAGACACCAAGATAAGTGTACTGGAGAAGAGTTGTGTGACGTGGTTTCATTTTGACAGACCTGCACTGATCTGCACCTCACTAAATATAAACAAAGTCCACAACAGCAGGGTTCATCAGGGCAGCACATTCCTGGACCTGAAACACACACACACACACACCTGATCATTCACAAACACACCTGTACATACACACACACACACACACACACACACACACACACACACACACACACACACACACACACACACACACACACACACACACTTACGTATACACACACACAAGCGTGCATGCAGGAACTAATACACGCATATCAAGACATCAGTATGAACTGTGGGAAAACACACACACACACACACACACACACACACACACACACAGAGGGTGCGGTCAGAGATAAGAGAGAAGTGGAAACAAGCAGCTGTCTGATCAGCGGACATACTGCTGCTCTTACATCACCCAACATTTATTCAATCTCTCATACTTTCATTCTTTCACAGCTACACATTCACCTCCTCTCTGGCTCTCCCCAACAAAATTTCCCTGTTTATTCAACATATTTGCCCTTTTTCCCACAAGAATGGATTTAATCTCTCTTCTCCTCTTTTCTCTGTTTTTTC